GTGGTGGGATAAGTATGCCAGACATGCATATATCCATTTTTCACAGCACATTTGAAATGCTGGGGTTAAAGTGGTGGGCACACTGGGCAGGCCCCTTAAAATTTCTGCAGGAATTTTCTAGTTTTAAAATGATCTTTTAGAGAGAAATAAAAGACAGAATATCTTACTGTTGTTTTTAGAGCGCCAAATAAAAAAGTTTGTTTAGGAGCTGTAGTCTGTCTTTTTAAATGAGTAAAAGAGTGGCTGTGATTGTTTTAAGTTTGGTTTTATTTGTACAAATTTGAGGTAGAAAATACTTTATTCATCCCAAAGGATAAAGTAAATGTTGTAACTCAAAATCGAAGTTTTGAATCTGGGCAGGAAGGATGTCCCGTAGCAGTCAGACTCACAACAAAACCGAAGATGCCTCTGACTGAAGACTGTATGATGGCTTATGACTTTCACAATTTTTCTAGCAGCTCAATTTCCAGGAAGCAGCAAATCTCTCTTTGTTTTAACGTCTATCTGATCGAGTGGTTAGAAACCGATTCCAAAACTGTAGAAAATACATAAAATACCCGTCTAAACACCTGGACAGTTTTCCTGTATTATTACCTTAGACTTTAGTTGAGAAAATAGTTGATCTATAAACATTTCAAAGCTGAAAGGGTCAACTTTTAATTTATGCACAGAGCAGGAAAAGCGTTTTGTTATTTGCATTACTTTAGCAAAAATTGGACAAGCCTTTATCAGTAGGTCATTGTTTTACAAAAGACAAGTTAGACATTTGGCACAAAATCTGTTAAGAATAGATACAGTTTGATCTACAAAGAGATGGTGAAAGAGCTTTTTACAGAGAAATGGAGAAAAAGAAATCTAAGCAGATCTATTAACTTTTTTTGTTTTTGGAGACAGACTGTTGTTTGTGTTGTAGCCATCGTTGGAGCCAACAGAAACCATTTTTAAATAGGAAAACCACAGAAAAATATTTAAGGACTGGGATTTGTTTCTCTGTATCCTGTTGCACATTTCATTATTTCATGAGTATTTGAGTTTCGTTTTCTCATTTTCATTGTATTGAGTCATACCACTCATGCAGTGTCAAATGTGCGCTATTAATACTTGATGCTTTGTTTTATGTTATGCTCCTTCACAGTGGCTCTTCTCACTGCTGGGAATTTACAGCTGATGGTTCCTTTGCTGTTGTGTAAAACTGATGAAACTTTTCTGTAGAAGCGTCTGAGGCCCATTACTCTGTAAAAGTTCTGACGCAGTACTTCCAGTTATTGTTGCATGTTGCACAACATTTTTACTGCTCCTGCCATGACTGGCAAAATCAGTATAATTGCTTTTGTTTTAAAATACAGAAAACAGAGAATTTAATTAGCAGATGAGAAACTGCATTAAAAAAGTCTGCATTTAATCTAGCTGTCATTATGCTTAAGGTTACTTAGGTTTGAGTAAGCTTCTCAGGGAGTTACGGATCCCTTATTAGGTGTGGGTGGCTTTTACTAACTTGTGTGTTTTGCAAGAAACTTGATCATGTGATCAGTTGGTTTCATTTGTTAGTTGTATTTACGTCTTTTAATACAATAATTAATGTAGCAAATGAGCAAAATGGCTCACACTGAGCAACTCTGTTTGAAAAATGAAGTTTTCCTTCCCAGTCGTTTAATTTGTTGGATGTTCTTGCTGAAATATTAATAAAACTGCCATGAGGTGTAAAAAGCACATTGAACAAATCCCATCTACCTGCAAATTTGACACATCGGTTTAAACCGAGGCATCATTATCATGTTTATAGTGTTTATATGTAGTGCTAATCTGGTGAAAGACTAGATTACGTATGACCTTTGATGATGAATTTGTGAAGTGTTTTGATTAGGAAGAGTGAACTTTTGAACTAATATGTGTAAATGTGTGGCATCATTAATATACAGTTAAATACAACTTTAAATGCATTGTATTGCTGTGTTTAAGAGTGACTGTCTGTAAAGTTGCAACATGTTTCATAGCCTCTCTGGTCTCTCAGGTGAGTAATGAAGCTTTCAACATACAATTTCTGTCTGAGACAATAATGTTTGTTTTTTGTTTTTCTTCCACCTGTAGAATAAAGATCCCAAAATGTCCCGTGTGGCGCTGGAGTCGCTCTACAGGCTGCTGTGGGTCTACATTATCAGAATCAAGTGTGAGAGTAACACTGTCACACAGAGGTCAGTTGCGTAACCATGTAAATGCTTCCAGCCAATCAATTTCTGTGCAACTCGTTCCTGTTAAAAACAGTTCCTCACATAAACGCACAGCTTAACAAATGCAAACCAGAAACTACAGAGTAATGAAGACTGGATACTGTTGTACTCCACACTTTTCAGATTTTTTTTGTTGCTCATATAACATTTCATTTAGGTGTTTTCAAGGTTTAGAAAGTGTTTGATGTGTGTGAAAAGTCCTTGAAAGTGTGCAGCTTTAATCAAAAACCTAATTTCTTTTTAAAAATGTATCTTGTGAAGAACTTTAATTTTACCGTAGGAAAACTGTCCAAATCTTGTTCTATATATCATAGAATCCCTCTAAAATAAATTCAGTTTGTAAGAAGGTGAGAAAATGTAAAAAAAAAAAAATAATAATAATAAATTCTACTACGGTATGAAGCTGGTGTCATTCAGCGCTGTATATGCTTATTACCCCGTTTCTACTCCTCAGCCGACTGCTCAGCATCGTGTCAGCACTTTTCCCCAAAGGCTCCCGCAGTGTGGTGCCCAGAGACACGCCCCTCAACATCTTTGTCAAGATCATCCAGTTCATAGCCCAGGTCTGACTGGAACACTGTTTTTTTTTTTTGTTTTTTTTAAGAATAGCTGACACACCACACAGGCCTGAGTGTGTCCAACTGCTTTTGTTGTTGTTGGTTTCTGCAGGAAAGACTGGACTTTGCTATGAAGGAGATCATCTATGACCTGCTGTGTGTGGGCAAGTCTCACAAAACATTCACCATCAATCCAGAGGTAAAGAGTTAAACATGCTGGGTTTGGGTTCTGTTTATTGCTTCAGGTAATGATTATTTTATTTTTAGCAAGCTACTTTTGAGGCTACATGCTCATTAATGGATTACTAGATTAGTATGTCGATTACTTCAATCGTTTCAGCCCTATTTCTCTTCTTGCTATGTTTTCTGTCCCTCCAGAGGATGAATATTGGTTTGCGAGCCTTCTTGGTGATTGCAGACAGCCTGCAGCAGAAAGACGGCGAGCCTCCGATGCCTACGACGGGGATCATCATGCCTTCTGGGAACACCATGCGTGTCAAAAAGATCTTCCTCAACACCACACTTACCGACGAGGAAGCAAAAGTGATCGGTAGGTTTGGTATTTGGGCAGGTAACGCTGCACACGTATATTTAATGTTCTAAGATCGCTGGGTGTTTCCTCAGGTATGTCAATGTACTATCCGCAAGTAAGAAAGGCCTTGGATAACATCCTGCGTCACCTGGACAAGGAAGTGGGACGCTCCATGAGCATGACAAGTGTTCAGATGTCTAACAAAGAGCCCGAAGACATGATTACGTACGTAAGCACAACTTTGATGCGTGTAATTTCCTGCTGGGTGTGACTTAGCTTTTTATGAACTGTTCCGCAGGGGGGAGAGAAAACCAAAGATCGATCTGTTCCGGACATGCGTGGCCGCCATCCCAAGACTGATACCAGATGGCATGAGCAGACAAGAGCTGATAGAGCTCCTAGCCAAGTACGTCACCCTCAATGACCTTCATCTCATTCCAATCTGTGAGCTGCGGTGAAGCCTGTGCAAACCTCTTTGTTCGTTCCACGTCCGTAGATTGACCATCCACATGGACGAGGAGCTGCGTGGCCTTGCCTTCACGTCTCTTCAGGCCCTCATGGTGGATTTCCCCGAGTGGCGGGAGGACGTCCTCTCAGGGTTCGTGTACTTCATAGTCAGAGAGGTCACGGACGTCCATCCCACGCTGCTGGACAACGCAGTCAAGATGCTGCTGCTGCTCATCAGCCAGTGGAAGCAAGCCGTGCAGAGCAGCAACAAGGGCCATGATACACAGGTGGGTCCTTTGGGTTTCTTTGGCCACAGTTTCATGCAACATGTTGGAAATACTCAATAATAATTTTTTTGTTTTTGTTCTATTGTGTTAAAGGGCTCAACCAACAGCCGGTCTCTGTCCTTGGAGCGCACCCCGCCTTCAGCAGTGCTTCATGTTGTGGAGGGTTTAGCGCTGGTTGTGCTCTGTAGCTGCCGGCCAGCCACCCGCAAGTTGGCCGTTAATGTCTTAAAGGAGGTCCGTGCTCTGCACACAGCACTGGGAATCGGCAAGGTAACAAGTTCAGGCTCACTGTACCTTGCAGAAGCATTAATGGCACTCGAAAAAATTCACGTTACATTACGATTCATTCTTTTTAAAATATATTAAAGGGGGTGTTTTATGTAAAATTAACTTTCTTGAGATTTACTTCAAGAAAACCGCACCTGGAATGTTGCCTTGATTCTTTCATGGATGTTTCAGAAATGCTTGAATCTCCCATGGCAACCGTTTGGGTTGTTTAAGGGCTTCCTGATGAAATGTGACACCTATTTACCTAAAGCTCCTACTTGGAGTTGCAGCCTCCCAGCCGAAGTCCCACATGCAGAACTCTGAAATGGCACCATGTGCCTGGAAAATTCATAATATGACCCCTTTAATAATAATACAAAATTCAAAGAGGGAAACAAATATTGCCGATGACCTTGGACATACTGCTCCCACCTTGATACAGAATCAGGCCTTTTAGATCCTTTTCTGAGGCACAGACCGTGAAGTTAGTCATAACTGATCAAAGATACTTTCACAGAACAGCTGTGTTTACTCTACGTTTATATTACATGCAGATGGAATCTTTTATTTACTTATGTGATCGCTGAAGGCATTTGGCTGCACTTTTATTCAAGGATTTCAGAGTAAAAGGTTTTTCTTCAGGTTTTTCTTTGTAAAAATTTTGAAAACATTTTTTTTTATTTTCCTTCCATTTCATAATTGTGCACTACTTTGTGTTGGTCCAGCAAATAAAAAAGGCAAAATGTGAAAAAGTTTCAGGGGCATTAATAGTTCTGCAAGGGACTGTACAGAACTATTTTATGTTATTATTATAAATGGGAAATTGAATAGCTGTGTGCCTGCAGAGGAGTAACGGAGTTTAATTAAGCTTCATTTGTCGTGTCCTAATCTCTGTAGGGAGATGAGGAACTGGCTATTGACGTAATGGACAGATTAAGTGCTTCTGTGTTGGAGAGCTTCATCCACCTGACCGGAGCTGACCAGGTATGACCGTTCCCTCGCTTCTGCACAAACGAAACATCTTGTGAAACTCTGCTGATCTTCCCCTGCCCTTCCCTTTGCCGCAGACCAACTTGCTGTATTGCCCCAGCGGGATCGAGCTTCAAACACTAGCAGAGTGGAGTTCCTCTCCCATCAGCCACCAGTTCGATGTGGTCAGCCCATCGCACATCTGGGTGTTTGCCCACGTCACGCAGGGCCAGGACCCCTGGGTCATCAGCTTGTCCAGCTACCTGCGGCAGGAGAACCTGCCCAAACATTGCCCCACCGCCCTCAACTATGCCTGGATGTTTGCCTACACCCGCCTTCAGCTGCTGTCTCCGCAAGTTGACATAAAGTACGCTTTGTGTCCTGTTACCGCTTATGTTGTGACACACTCGCTTCAAATAGTAGTTGGTGTAGAAAGCAAATGATGAGGGGAAAACAGGAGAGTTGCGTCTCTCCATTTGCTAACCTCAACTCAGACTAATCCAACCCGACGTTTTCTGTTCGTCCACTTCCAGCAGCCCCATCAATGCCAAAAAGGTGAACAGTCTGAACAGCAGCGATTCCTACGTCGGCCTTTGGAGAAACTACCTGATTCTTTGCTGCAGCTCCGCCTCCTCCTCCTCCTCAATGTGCTCCTCCTCATCCTCCACCTCCGGCTCCGTCCGCTGCTCCCCGCCTGAGACGCTGGCGTCTACGCCGGACAGCGGCTACAGTTACGATTCCAAGGTCGGAAGAGTACGCTCAAACCGAGAATGACGGAACAGAATAAAGCATCGGCTGTGCAGCAGCATCGTTGTGACCAAAGTGAATGTCTGTGTGTGTTCACAGATTGTCGGGACTCCGTCCCCCTCCTCCCTCTTTAAACACATCGTTCCAATGATGCGCTCTGAGAGCATGGACATCACAGAGTCTTTGGTGTTGGGGCTTGGCAGGACCAACCCTGTTGCCTTCAGGTAAAAAAAATACTGATACGAAATCTATAATCATATGTATCTCAGGGTTCTTACACTTTCTGGTTAATTGTGGAATTGAAGTTTTATCACAACATTTTGTGGTGCTATAATGATAAAAGTGAAGACATCAGTCACATAAAGAAATGTTTGTATCACTACATTTCACACAGTAACTGCATTTAATCAATTTATTGATACTCTAATTAAATAAACAGTGGAGAAAATGGTAAAAATAACAATCCTGACAATAATGTCTAATGATGTTTAAACATCATGAATTCGAATTTATTGTGGCAACTATAACTTAAAATCATTATACAAAGAAATTTATCACGATAAATGATAAACAATACGATACACACCACTTATCAAAGTGTTTTCCAAGAGTATGAATGATATTTATATTTCCAGACTGTTTTCCCTTTGCCATCCATTCATCTATCTGCTCACCTCATCTAAGTGAAAATTTGTTTCTATACTTAAAAAAACGGATTAAAATGAACTCTGCATTTTTAAATTTGTAAAGAATTAAAAATGAAAAATATGTACATTTTATAGGGTTTTTTTTGTTTGTTTTTATTTTTTTTAAATGTTTATTGACATGCATGTCTTCCATCCTTCAGAGAACTAATAGAGGAGCTAAACCCAATCATAAAAGAAGCTCTGGAAAGAAGACCAGAAGTGAGTGTGGCTCAGTGATGACTTTAAAAGTATTCAGTCAAACTTTATTTTATTTACGCGACACTTGAATCCAATGGAACCGTTTCCATCATTTACAGAACATGAAGCGACGCAGGCGTCGGGACATCCTCAGGGTCCAGCTGGTCCGGATATTTGAGTTACTCGCTGATGCTGGCGTCATCAGCCACGTGTACGTAAACCCAAGGCGTTGAGACTTCTCCTCTCAGAAAGCCACTGGATGAACTCCGTGATGATTTATTTTTTTCTTTTGGTTTCCAGATCCAGTGGAGGTTTGGACGGGGAGAGCCACTCTCTCAACAGCACGCTGCTCGAGTACGTGGACCTCACCAGGCAGCTGCTGGAGGCAGAAAACGACAAGGACTCTGACACGCTGAAGGACATCCGCTCTCACTTCAGCGCACTTGTGGCCAATATCATACAGAATGTTCCAGGTACGTTTAAGCTGCGCTCTTGACTGTCCGGTGAAATTTAAACAATAAAAAAAAAGTTTCTCCATTTAACATGTTTTTTTTTTCTTTCCCAGTAAACCAGAGGAGGACCATCTTCCCTCAGCAGTCACTGCGGCACAGTCTCTTCATGCTGTTTAGTCACTGGGCTGGACCCTTCAGCATCATGTTCACTCCTCTGGATCGCTATAGTGACAGAAATATGCAAATCAATCGCCATCAGTACTGTGCGCTGAAGGTAAGCGTCTAGCGATGCCGACGTCGGCTTTAACCTCTCGCGCCATCCGCTCTGAGAGCTAAATTCCCGTTTCATCGTTCAGGCCATGTCTGCCGTGTTGTGTTGCGGACCCGTAGCCGACAACGTCGGCCTGTCGTCTGATGGCTACCTCTACAAGTGGCTGGACAACATTTTGGATTCACAGGACAAGAAGGTGAGCAAAATGTTGCTGGTAGTTGTGATGAACTCTAAAATAACCACTGATCCAGATTTTATGATTTAAATTCAAGAATATTTTTTGCAAAAAATAGTGTGGTGCTTTTTTATACATTCAGAAGTCTTACATACTTTCAATATTGGCATGAAGGTCGTTTAAATTTTATGCTTTTAAGAATTTTTTTTCCCTCTAACGCTTATGCTTCCAACTCCCATGGGATTCAAAAGCAGGAACTGGGTGCACAAATTTGCATTTATTATGGATTTTCTCTATCCCAAACATGCTCTATATTATATATTCTGACGCAAAGGCATGTATACTTCATCAGAAATATTTGGTTTTGTAGAAATTTAGAATATTAAATGTGGCTGAATATTTTGGGGATTTTTCTCAGCAGCACTGGTAAATTTGATGGTTTGGTAGCTCAAGCACAGCTTTTAAGCAGGACTTTTAATTGTGTTATGATTCCAAAATCAGGTTTTATTTTTTGTGTTTGACATTATTGTTTTGTTGGGACACACATTCTTACTTCACTGACCAAAACTGTCACCGTCTGGCGAAACAAAAAGGGTCCAAGAAATCACTAAAAACAGGGCATCCTTAAAAACCCTTACATCCATGTATCTAAAAATAAGGCCTTAAAAAAACTCAAATTTATATATATATATAAAGACGGCTTTTAATATGTTAATATTGCAAGCCTTAAATTTTGTCTTGACAGGACTGTTTAATCTCTTATATTTATTTCTCACACAAGACATTCAAAGTTGCGCTCCAGGTTCTTTTCTTTTTATTTCCAACTGTTGAAATTTCCGATGTATATTTACAGTACAAACTTTGCTGAATATTTTTAAAATCTCATTTTATACCTGAAGATGTGGCGTCACGGTTTAAATATTTGGTTTGCGGTCACCTTTAGGTCCACCAGCTGGGTTGCGAGGCCGTGATGTTGCTGCTGGAGCTCAACCCAGACCAGAGCAACCTCATGTTTTGGGCCGTGGACCGATGTTACACCGGCTCACGGCGCGTTGCGGCTGGCTGTTTCAAGGCCATCGCCAACGTCTTTCATAACAGGTACTACCTGCATTAGCAGAATGAACTTCAATTTCTTGTTTTTACTGGGTTGTTTGTCTGTCAAGCAACTTGTTTTTTTCCCCCTTTTAGGGATTATCAGTTTGATACTGTGGTGCTGCTGAACCTGATTCTGTTCAAGGCAGCTGATTCTTCCAGGGAAATCTACGAGGTAGCCATGCAGCTGTTACAGGTCAGTCTGGTCCGTGTTCATTCAATGCTTCTGTTGGGATTTTTCCCTTCAACTTTTGAGACGTTCTCACCGCTGCGTGTGTGTGAAACAGATCCTGGAGCCAAAGCTTTTCCGTTATGCACACAAACTGGAGATCCAGCGGACAGATGGCATCTTGACTCCTCCCTCACCGCTTCCACACCTGTACTCCGTGTCTTACTACCAGCTTTCTGAGGAGCTTGCGAGAACATATCCGGAGCTCACTCTGCCTATTTTCTCAGGTCAGCTACTTAACAAAATACTGCTGGATGGTTTGTTGTGAGATAAAATGGCTGTGCTGCCATACTAATGGAGGGTTTGTCTGCTTCTTGAGATCCTTGAAAATTATTGAATTTTAATTAGGTCTTTTCAAGGAATGTGGACAGTGCTTGATTTTGGTATAAAGTCTTTAAAAGTTTTTGATATTGAAACTGCACAGTTTAGTAATAAAGTGCAATCTAATGCTAGATTAGAAGCCAAAATTTGGAAAACAATATTTACAGTTAAACCCTCACTGTCTGAAGTTAAACTTTTCTTTCTTAAGCCTGTTTTTATTTGCTAAATGTCAGGAAACATAGCAAAAGCATTTTGTACTTCATTTTTTGCTTTATTTTTGAATATTCCTAATGCCTCAATGAATTATTGATCTTCAGGGTTTCCCTCAGTGTATTATAAGCCTGGCGGGCCACCAGGCTTTACTTTTGCCCCCCCCAGGCTAAACATTTTTTTTTTTTTTTTTTTTTTTTAAGTCTTTTTAAAATATTTGCATTTTTTAAGACTTTGTGGTTTGTGTTCAGGTATTAATCTTCTAACCTTTTAATAACACTTTATCAAGTGATATTTTCAAATTTTCTGTCAACTTTAAACATTATTTAACTCAAAAACACGATGGACCTTGCAAGTTTTCTGGGGGAAACCTTGGACGTGTGTAATTGAAGCAAAGATTGTCTTATTTTTTTTTTATATGTTGAACAATGTTATTGAAATTGGGGGATTTTTTTTTTGTCAAATGTATGTTTCGTTCTGGGATCAGTCCGGTGTATAGGGCGTGTGCGGGAGAGACATTTCAAAACATAGAATTTTGCTGTATTTTAGCTTACCTTGTCCCTGCTGTAGATTGTAGAATAATTTGACAAAAGCATTATTATTAATAACAGTAATAAATGGTATCATACAGTAGTGAATTAAAACTGTCTTTTTTTAGTATATATGTTTGTTTTATTTCCAAAAGTTTGAAAACTTAGCTTGAAAATGCTTGAAAAGTGCTTCGGTTTAACTGTGGGAAAACTGTACAAGCACTTTCATGTGTCATTTCTGGATATTTTTTTTTAAATTATATTTTTGCTACCATGTGATTGTCCCAAATCACAGAAGTCAGCCAGCGTATCCAAACAGCACATCCTAGTGGCCGTCAAGTCATGTTGCACTACCTCCTACCGTGGATGAACAACGTGGAGCTGGTGGAATTCAAGCCGACCATAAGGCGACCAGAGGACTGCGGCAGCGGCGAGGAAGAGGAGGATAGCCAAGACCAAGAGATCATGATGGTGAACAGCCGCCGCTGGCTCCGTGGAGAGGGGTGGGGATCCCCTCGTGCAACGACCATGGTGCTAAACAACCTCATGTTTATGACCGCCAAGGTGAGACGACTCACCCAACACCCCCCGCCCCCACACCCTGCTACGAATCCGACGTGCCGAGAATCCTAATCAATGTCCGTTCTTTGCAGTACGGAGATGAATTTGCTTGGTCAGAAATCGAGAACGTGTGGACGACGTTGGCAGACAGTTGGCCAAAGAACCTCAGAATCATTCTGCACTTCCTCATCAGTATATCTGGGGTCAGCAGTGACCCCAGCCTCTTGCCCTACGTAAGCGGCAACACTTTTTTTTTTTTTTTTTCCTTTCAGGAACCGTGGGAGACATGTGGCATTTGTTTCTAACATTTTTCTAACATGTGTCCTCAGGTGAAACGAGTGGTGGTTTACTTGGGCAGAGATAAAACGATGCAGCTGCTGGAGGAGTTGATGTGGGAACTTCAGCTGACTGAGCCGGTCAGCTCAGCTGTGACCCACATGGACAACCCCCCTTATTACCGCATCACCTCCAGTTACAAGATCCCCTCAGTGACCTCAGGTAATGGACCGATAGAGACACACAAGTTAATTTCTTACATTGGAGATGCACCAATCAGGCCTTAAACTGATTCTGGATTTGATCATTGTTTCTTAGTTAAGATTCATGCCCCGGACCTAAAGCTTTGGCCGGGTCTAGCCAAAATTGTTTGCTTGATGGCTCGGGATTCTGTGATGCATTTTTTTAAGCCTACAGTGCGCACAGAGAAAACTTTACAAGAATGCTCAACATAAATATGTGTTAATGTGCTTGTTATAGTCTAAATAGTGGAGGAAATAGTTTACCAGTTGAGGAAAGAAAGAAATGAAGGTGCTGAAGTTCATTGTACTGTAACAAGCGCAGCACATTGAGCCTGCAGCCCTGCCCCCCCTCTGCTCCTATCAATCACACATCCCAGATGATTTGCCCTTGACTCACCCTGCGCTTACAAGTGATGTGACGGAGCTGGAAGATGTTAAGCAAAATCTAAAAATGGGAGAAGTTAATTATAGGCTAAAAACGAAAGAAGCAAAATCTTAATTAAAATAATATGTCTGGATACTTTGGACTTGGGCCTAAAATACAAGTGAATTAATCAGGTCTTGTTAGATTTTTTAGACCTGCTGTAAACTCAGTGTTTTTCTAAGGACATAAATTTTCTAGTTTGTCAACTGAAAATAATGGTATTCTTAGATTTGAGGCTAAATTAATAGCCATTTTTCCCCCTCTGGAATAATTGGCCAATTCCAATCACTGGTTGATTGATTGGTGCATCTCTAGTTCTATCAATTAAATGCTGTACTTCCAGTGCCAGACGATGTATTTCTTGCCTTCTCCATCAGGAACAACCTCCAGCAGCAATACCATGGTGCCAGGAAGCGAGGGTCATCAAGACGGCAAGAGCAAAGACCCAAACATGGAAGACAGGTACCAACTTCTGCACAAATTTCCTATTAAAAGCTGTTATGAGTTTCTATTCCTGCATTTTGTCACTCCCTTGGCCTCTTCTTTTTATTTTAAGAGCAGATTAGTTGGTCCTTAAAGCTAAAGTTGACAACTAGTCTTGAGTGGGACCGAGACCAAAGCTTTTCTCTACTGTCCTAAAACAACAACTCTCAAAAATATTACGGCAGTGTATTTTAGGAAGCTTTAAAATGAAGTCACCATGTGCCAACATCACAACAGCTTAGAACTTTCTAAGATGGCAGATGTGTAAACGTCTATGATGATTTTGAAATCGAAGTTGTTTGAAAAGACGACAAACATCAGCGGAGTTAGATAAATGTCAAAAAATACACCCCAAACTAACTTTGTCTAGTCTATGGCGCGATGCCTGGTGAGTATCAGTGTTTCTGATTAAACTAGGCAAAACTGGAGTCCTGTAAGCTGTTCTTTTTGAGAATCTTCAGAATTTCTAATGTGTTTCGAATCACATCTCGACAACACGCACCTTTCCACTCCAAGTGTTCGTTTCCCTTAAGATAAAAGTCCACTTTGGCCTTGTCTTCTGTCAAATTAGCTGTCGGCTTCACCCTCCAGGACCAAATAATCTGGAGTTATACTAAAAGGGGAGGACATCTTACTTCAGATTCTCAACCTTTTAATGCGCTTTATCTTCAAAAATTTAAGAATGCATAAATTCAGAAGAACATCTGAATTTATGACATTTATGCCTAGAGGCTCTATGCAGTCTGAGATTTTGGTTTTACCAGCACGTCTCCTCCCACAGTTACACACACCTGGATATTTACTCGGGTCTGAACAGCAACCTGAACCGCCAGCACCACCGCCTGGAATCTCGGTACAGCAGCAGCTCTGGTGGCTCCTATGAGGACGAGAAGAGTAAGCAGAGAACAATCCCACACTCCTCCTCAGCATAGTGTAGTTTTAATACGGTGTAAGACCATGCTTACTAATGTGTCTCCAGGTGACTCCATGCCACTTTATGCAAACTGGCGCTTGAAAGTAATGGACCACAACCAGCCGGAGCCTCTCCCGTTCCCCCCGACGGGAGGCTGCTGGGCTCCGTTAGTGGATTACCTACCAGAGACAAACACCCCCACTGTGCCGCTCCACAGGTACCATGTAATACGGTGTTTCGCCACAGACGTTCAGCTTTGGTTAAAGCTCACAGTCGTCCTCTGTTTTTTTTTTTTTTTTTTTGGTTTTTCAGATGCAACATTGCAGTCATCCTGCTGACGGACCTCATAGTAGACCACGGGATCAAAGTGGAGTGGAGCGCATACCTTCACCTTTTGTTACATGCTGTGTTTATTGGTAACGTCCTCCGATGTTTCACGCGTCGTCTCTGCTCACGTACCGGCCTCGTGGCGTCACTTTGTCGTTCTGCTCTCGTCCTCCAGGCTTTGATCACCAGCACCCAGAGGTCTACGAGCACTGCAAGCGGCTGCTGCTTCACCTGCTTGTCGTCCAGTCTGCAAACAGCCAGTCCGTGGCCATGGTGCTGCTGCGGAACAGAGACTACAACGATCCCCGGGTTCTGACGGTGAAGCCAGCGATTCCAGAGCTCAGCCTTACAGGTCAGTCCTGCCGTCAGCCAGTGGAAAGCAGGGAAGCAACTAACGGTTATTTCAGCAACCGATGATTGTGCCAATTGTTCGGATAATTAATCGGATAAAACATAAAAAAATAGCTACATTCTTCATTTAACCACTTAAACCTTATTAATGCAATATTAGAAATGCATTAAGAGATAGAAATATTTTTTTTAAATAAGAAAATAAACATTTATTGCCTAAATGCAATAAAAATAGATTTCTTTTAGTTTGCACTTGATTATTTGTAGATTCGTCACCCCAAACTTAGCCACCGGGTGGCAGCAAAGGTCTTTCCCATATGTGTAAATGTAAACTGTGCCACAAGCTGCTGCTGTTGCAAAGCTACAGCCTGACATCAACCGAGTGTGCTCTTGTTGAATGTTTCCACAGGAATGCAGGAGATTTTGCCAGATTTTCAGCCGTCGCCGATGACAGACTCGGGCCTCAGCACCAGCTCCACATCCTCCAGCATAAGCCTCGGTGCGGGCAGCAGCACTTTGTCCCACCTCTCCCCCACGCTTCTCATCGAGGCCGATATTAACGCCGAACAGGACGACAAGGCCAAGGGTCTCATCGAGTTCATCACGTCAAGGTGAGGAAGATACAGCAGTATAAGTAGATTTTATATACATTCTCATGATGCAGCTCAGTTTGAGACGGTAGTTGTAGCAACGCCGAGTGTTTTACTTAAGTTTACAATTATTATGCTTTCACGCTTCCAGTGGTGTCTAACAGGAGCCGGTATTTAGGTTCTGCATGGGTTTGAGTTTGGTTTGGCTTCATCTGCGTTTTTTTCTGGTGTGGTACCTAAACCTAAGCAATTAAAAATTAATCAAGATAAATGATTAATTGCTTAATTAGAATGAGCTTGATCATTTCTATTGTGGTGATTAATATTTTTTGTAGGGAAATTTTGTTTAAAGATTTCATTATCCATTTAATTTTTTGTTTTGTTTTGTTCTTGGTTGTTGTGTTTTATTATTTGATGAAGTAATAAGTGGAGTGTTCTTTTACAGATGTAAAGTTTATTGATCTTTGAGAGGGCAAACTTACATTATTTGTAAATGATCTCAATACAACATTTTTGTTTATCGTCCTGCAAAATTTGCTATCGTGACGGACCTATTGTCTGATCTTTGTTCACTCTCATCCTGCAGAAAGCGAGGTCCACTCTGGAATCACGAAGACGTCTCTCCCAAGAACTCCAACATTAAGAGCGCCGACCAGCTCAGCGTTTTCGTCAGACACGTCGTCACGGTCTTCAAGCAATCCCAGACAGGTCTGAACGGACGTCCGCGACTCCTCTTCTGTCGTTTCCGCCCATCCTTCTGTCGATTTTGTGTTGGAGTTATCTGCATGTTACGCGCCTCTCTTCAGGTTTCCCTCTGGACTCCATGCTGAGCGAAGTAGCTCTGAGAACGGCTCTGTCCTGCTCTTCTCGACACTACGCCGGTCGCTCGTTCCAGATTTTCAGGGCGCTCAAACAGCCTCTGACTCCGGCCACTCTGTCTGACATCCTGTCTCGACTAGTGGAGACTGTAGGAGACCCAGGAGAGGATGCCCAGGTCAGAATATGGGAACACTGCATCATACTGCTGCTCTGAACAAATTTAATCCATTATTTAAAGACACAATGTAACTGGTTGTGGAAAAATGTCAAGCTGTCTGATTTGAACTGACTAAATATATGTTCATATTTTTCCAGGGTTTTGTCATTGAGCTCCTCCTGACATTAGAGTCAAGCATCGACACTTTAGCAGATATTATCAAAAACTACGACCTCCTGTCTGCCTTAGCACAGTAAGTCTTCTCACAAGTTCCTTTCTTACTTTGTCATTATTTTCTACTGCACAATTAGACAAAATCTGCTGGAGGGCCAATATTGGATAAAATCGGCTATTTTTTTTTTTTTTAGCTGTCCATCATGTTATGTTATTCCCTCATCAAAATCACACCTGTAGTGTCGCTTTGATTCTTTCATGTATGTTTGAGAAATCCTTTAATCTCCCACGGCAACGATTCAGCTGTTCAAAACGCCTGGTTAGACCTGGCGCCGCCTTCGAAACACAGCTCCTGCTCAGAGCTGCAGTTTCCAAGCTTCTGCCTCACAGAGCAGCCTGGCCACCTGACTCTCACTCAGCTCCTTCAGACTAGCCAGCAGCAATTAGCAAACATCTGGTTGAACTGCACATCTACTGAGATCTTTATACCTTCTACTTCTCAGTGAAGCACTGGTAAAAAAAAATAAATAAAAAGGCAGAGTTTCTTAAAGAGACATGCCCAATTTCAAGAAGTTAAATAATGAAGTAAAATTTATTTTAATATATATATATATATATATATATATATATATATATATATATATACATATGTATATATATATATATATATAGCATTTTTACCACAACTGAAGGTGACATAGTTGATTGTTCTGTAAAATGGTACTATGAGACTGGAAAACGCAAAACCCTGCTCCTTTAAAAGGCCGTACTGTTCTCTTTCTAGAAGCTCTGCCCGCGACCAGTCGTTGGGAGCAAAGTTAGCCGCCAACAGGAAAAGCACGGGCCAGCTCAACCTGAACAGCGGCGGCCTGTTGCATTACGTCCACACTCGGAGCAACTCGCTTCGCGCCAGCATCATCGGCGAGCGGAAAGCGGACAGACGTCGAAGCAACACGCTGGACGTAGCGGACAGACTCGGCGACAACCCCTCCAACCTGCTGCGCACAAAGAGCCTGACGTCGCTGGGCGGGGGCGGCAGCCCGGGAGGCGAAGCCGTCCCGCCGGTGGACCCCTCCAACCTGATGGCCACCGTCTTCTGGATCGCCGCCTCCCTGCTCGAGTCCGATTACGAGTTCGAGTACCTGCTGGCACTGCGGCTGCTCAACAAGCTGCTGGGCCAGCTGCCTCTGGAGCGGGCGGACAGCCGAGAGCGGCTGGAGAACGTCCAGGGGAAGCTCAAGTGGTACAACTTCCCAGGGCTGCTGCAGCTCTTCCTCAAAGGCTTCACCTCCACTTCGACGCAGGAGCTCACCATCCACCTGCTCAGCAAGCTCATCAGCGTCTCCAGGCACACGCTGGTCGATCCTTCACAGGTAGCAGGTAGGTCTGAGTGGTTTCATCTTCATCTCTGAGTGGTGGGGCCATGAATAAGGACACTCTGTTTTTGTTTGCTGTACTATTGTTACCACTTATTTTGACAGTAATCCTCTGATCATAGAGCTTTTCAAATCCCTTCATAACTGTTGGACAAACATTTCACAAGCGAGTTGGAGCTGTAATCACCTGCATGCACTGCTTTTTGTTGGCCTATCACTTAAATCAGCGGTGTGAAACCCACTTGACCTATTGATTCGATTCATAAAATAATGTTTAAGCACACAGCTGTTACCTGGAAGGTTTGTCTGCAGGCCTTGAGTTTGACAAGTGGCTGTACTGTGACAATCTGTTTAACATTTCAAGGGCTCTGAATGCGTTTGTAAGGCAGCGTATGCGACCTTCCTCTAACCATTTTCCTCCTCGGATGGATCCCAGGTTTCCCTCTGAACATCCTGTGCCTGCTGCCTCACCTCATTCAGCACTTCGACAGCCCCACTCCCTTCTGTAAGGAGACGGCGGATAAGATCGCCAAGGTGTGTGCGGAGGAGAAGTCGGCCACGCTCTCCAACCTGGCCCACATGATGAGCCTGTACAGCACACACAGCTATTCCCGCGACTGCACCAACTGGATCAACGTGGTCTGTCGCTACGTCCATGACGCCTTCGCAGAGAGGACCTTGAACCTGGTCACTTACCTGGCAGAGGTACGAGAGATGAACATCAGACTTCTTTGTGTTAGTTCTGAATGGTAGACATGAGCTTTAACGATGAATGTTTGCATCTCAGCTGTTGGAGAAGGGCCTACCCAGCATGCAGCAGTCCTTGCTGCAAATCATCTACAGCCTCTTGAGTCACATTGATCTCTCAGCAGCTCCTGTCAAACAGTTCAACCTTGACATCATGAAGGTCATTGGCAAATATGTTCAGGTGAGTAAGTAACTTTGGAAACTTTGTCATCAATAGTTAGCTTTTTTTTTTTTGTCCTCTCAGCAGTCAGTTATGCTGCTACGAGTTGAGATAGTCTAAATTTTTCATTTTGAGTTTTTGGAAAGATTCCACACTCTGTTTTTAGCCAGTCCCATTTTTTTAAACATTTCAAATATTGCTTTCTGGCTTTTTCCTATTACAAATTTTTACTACGAGGGGAAGATTGCATTGTGTGTGAGACCAGTTTCTCTAAAACAGCTTTACTGTTTAAAAACAAAAATGACAACTTTGTTGACATTTCACTGTTTTCATGACCGTTATTAGTAAAACCTTAGTCTGAGTGTTGATTCTTTTCATAAAAATGTTACCAAATTGTCCAAATTGTGCACACCTCATAACAGACAGGTTGAACTCTTAAGAGTAAAAAAGGCAGCTTTCTTGTAACTCATTTAGCCTTCCTGTTACCTGCTGAGAGTATTGAGCTTTGTTGCAATCTGACTCGACGTGGCCTTTCTAGAATAAAAGAACTACCTTCCATCTTTTTTATGACATATCTACAAAAATCTGTTTTACTAAAAACTGACATTTTTTTCCTTTCTTTAAAAAAAAAAAAAAAAAAATTTAAAATTTGAAAAAAAAAAAAAAAAAAAAGGAAGATAAAAATATTTTTTCCTGTAAGGTGATGATATTTGTGGAAAATTATTTTTAAAAAACATTTTCAAACTATTGACAAAAAAATTTGATAAAATATATGGTACTGGTACTTAATATCAATGTTGTGGAAATTCAACGCATCTATTCCATGTAAAACTCTTTAGCATTTGCATTTGTTATTTGCATTTTACCAAGTAAGTTTTAGTTTATTTGCTACTCTGACTTTGCTGTTCTTTCAGCAAATGGCCATTTTTTTAAATGACATTGCGATTCAAATGCACGGTGTTGTGTGTGTGTGTGTGGGTGTGAAAGTAAACTGGACTGATCTATAAACAGTAGAGTAATTAACTTAGAAACGCCTCATCTCTCAGGGTTACAGAGTGTAGCGCGTTTTTATGGCCGCCTTTTACCGACCGTCTCCGGGGAACCATACGGCTCCATATCATCCGTGCATCTGACAGCTGCACTGCCATTATTGTCTCAAACAAAGTTCTGAAAATGATTTAATATAGGTTTGTGTTTCCAGAAGGCTTGTGGGTATTTTAGCATGCCTTCACATCTGCCTCCTTTCTGGGTTGGTCATAGATCATGCGGCATGGAAATGATGTCATACTCTCTTTCTGTTGCAGCATAAGTCAGGTAATGTTTTACCTGACTTATGTCAGGTAAAACAAAATATGACTTCATGCATATTTTTCCTTCAGAGGAAAAATATGCATGAATCACAAGAAAGGCTTTTAGGGTTTGTTTTCTCACTACATCACGATAACGCCGTCTGCTTTTGCTACAGAGCCCGCACTGGAAAGAAGCCCAAAACATCCTGAAGATGGTCGTGTCTCGATCGGCCAGTCTGGTGGTTCCAGACGATGTGCAGCGTTCGTACAGTTCAGAGTCCTGTGGGTCACCAGAAATCGCCTTCACTCGCATATTCAACAACTCATCCAAGGAGCTGCCTGGAAAGACCCTGGACTTCCACTTTGACATCTCAGAGGTCAGACCTGCTGTTTTTAACTAACTTGCCTCCAAGACCCCCCACGTTCTTAGCACTTTGTTGCTGAAACTTATTGTCTTGGCTCTCTAGACACCAATTATAGGCCACAAATATGGCGACCAGCGTACCGCTGCAGGGCGAAACGGAAAGGCGCAGGTGATCGCCGTGACGAGGAGCACCTCGTCAACGTCGTCTGGCTCCAACTCCAACGGTCTGGTGCAAGTGAGCTGGAAGAGGCCTCAGCTGTCGCAGGTACTTTCTTTCAGTGGATACACATTACAAGAACAAACCATTCTGTGAGGCAGTAATCTGTAAAAAAAAAAAAAGATCTATATACACTGCTCAAAAAAATAAAGGGAACACTCAAATAACACATCCTAGATCTGAATGAATGAAATATTCTCATTGAATACTTTGTTCTGTTCAAAGTTGAATGTGCTGACAACAAAATCACACAAAATTCATCAATGGAAATCAAATTTATTAACCAATGGAGGCCTGTATTTGCAGCCACACACAAAATTAAAGTGAAATGTTCCCTTTATTTTTTTGAGCAGTGTGTGTATATATATATATATATATATATATATATATATATATATATATATATATATATGTGTGTGTGTGTGTATATATATATATATATATACACACTCACAAGATAATTAATGAACTGACCTTTTCATAGGACATCCTACTCTCCAGTATTCACTGTTAGCTCGGTTAGCATTAAATGCTTTGAACTGGGTCTGCAACTAGCCATCATTTTAACACATTTTTGGCTCATTCAGTGAATTATTCATTTCACCACTTAAGTTTGTTTTATACAATATTAGAAATACATTTAAAAATGCAAATAGACAATCCAATTCCTTTTTTTAAATCGGAAAATAAATGTCATTGCATATTGGATTTGTACAGCTATGATTTAATTTCTACTCTTAAGATGGTGACCTTTTTTCAAGTCTGTATTCCCCAGTTAATGATTAATCAATAACTAAATTAGATGATGATTATCTCAATAAATAATCTGATTAATCGTTTTATCCCTACATCAAACTACAGTCTTAGTTTATATTCCCTGGAAGATAGCAACCTTCACCTTAACTCTGAGACGATGAAGTCGTGGAGAGCTTATTAAGTTTATTGTTTTCTAATCTTTCATGTGTTTCTATTACAGAGAAGAACCAGAGAGAGGCTGATGAATGTCTTGTCTCTATGTGGTCCAGAGTCCGGCATTCCCAAAAATCCATCTGTAAGACTCCTCTCCTACTCTGTGAACTCAAAGTCTCTTATAAACCCTGCTGATGTAACCTGCTGCTCGGTCACTTTGATGGAAATTAACTTTTTTTAAAGTTATTTTAAGGGTGTAGAAATTTTGTATTGACAACAAAAACCTTTTATTCTCGCAGGTGGTTTTCTCATCCAATGAGGATCTGGACTCTGCGGACCAGCAGACCAGCCTCATCCCCACAGTGGAGGAGGTGGTCCGAGAGGAGGAGATTCAGGGCGAAGACACGGGCAGCGAGCAGCAGTTTGGCGTCTTTAAGGACTTTGACTTCCTGGACGTGGAGCTGGAGGATGCCGAGGTGGGTTTACGTTCAGAGCGTCTGATTGTTGCAGATTCAGAAGCTAACAGTGGGTGGAAAATATCGTTACTTTCAGTTATCTGCCCTGCCGTTGCTCTCTTCTTGTCAGACTTGAATTAGTTGTGACGAATGAGCAAAATTGTTTTCCAGCAGTCGTAAGTCTACTAACATTCATATTCTTTTTCCTCTCTTGCTACAAGGAGTTGCAGGTATGTCTCTGGGCCCAAAAGTTAATTCATTCCTCCCCCGCCCCCCATCCTGCTGTTCTCCCTGTGTCGCCATCCAATTAAGTGCTGTTGGACGTTTTGACTTGAAGACTTTCCCCTGTGATTGTGGACATTTTTTATAGCTTTAGATCTTAGCATGATATTTCATCCCAAAAAATGTGGAGAAAAACCTACGCCACCCACTCACTCACTCACGCATGTGACCTTTTGATGTTTTGATTTCAGTTGGTCTTTTTATTTTTTTATTTTGAGATTTAGGGTGTTTTCACACCTGATAGTCCGGTAGAATCGGTATAAGTGGGGATCAGTATTGCAGCATCTCTCACGTTTTTAGCTGAAGGAAGGTTGTGAAAGCGCCACCTCTTACCTGCGGTGATGCTGCACCAAAAGCCACTGAGGGAAACGATATAAAAACCTCAGAAGAAGACCAGCGCAACTTCCTGCTTCACAAAATCTAAACAAAAATGTCTTTGGTAAGACAAATGTGAGTCTGCGCTGGACTCACATTTATTTTGGTTGTATTTACCCAGAATTCCCTGCGGCATAGTCCACTTCCTGCTTTTGGAGTGGTCTCCAGTCCATTTGCTTTCACATATGCATTTGAACCAGAGTTCACTTCAACCAAACTTAAACCTGGGTTTATATATGGAGATGGAGAGTTCACCTTTTTTTGGTTCACATCAGAGTTCAGTTGCGCGTTCACACCTCCCCAAACAAACCGAACTCTCTAGGCAAACAAACTAGAAGTCTATTGAAAGTAACTGGTGTGAAAGCACCCTTCTTTTTTTTATTTTTTTTTAGAACACTAAGTGGTGAAATGTCTGCTTTGTGTCTTTCTTATCTCCTAAATTATTATTCCTCCCATCCCAAACCTTCCCTTTTGCGCACTCCGTCTCACTGCTGTCGGCCTGCTTGTCCTGCAGGGGGAGAGCATGGACAACTTCAACTGGGGGGTGCGCCGCCGCTCCCTGGAGAGCATGGACAAAGGGGACACACCGTCTTTGCAGGAGTGCCAGTACGCTGGCAGCACGCCGAGCCTCAACCTCACCAACCACGAGGACACGGACGAGTCATCGGAGGAGGAGGTACTGAGCGCTAGCCAGATTCTCACCCGCTCCAGCCTTGTAAGTCTCACTCCGACCAGGGTCCGCACACACACACGCACACACACCTCCCCCCACCCAATCTACCATGGCCTCTCACACAGCCCGCTGGCATGGTGTGTGCGTGTGTGTGTGTGCGCGCGCATACTAAGCTGGACCTGCTGCCTGCTTCTTCGCTGGTGGTGGTAGTTGCCTCCTTTAAGTCTCAGCCCAGTCCTTTCACCTCTGACTAAAAGGGAAATTGTGTATTTAAATGTAAAGTCAGTAGAAATATATAGTATAGAAATGAGTTATCGGTAAGTACAGTGAGTTGATATTTTTTTGCACACTCTAAAAAAGTATAAAATCCTAGTTTTTCCAAACCTGCATGGTCCGTTTTTTGCAACTTTCTAACAATTCTCCAGCTCGTTTCTAACTCCCCTTGCAAGCTTAAAATCCCCTGTAAGATAACCGAAATGCCTGAAGTCATTCTGGAAGGGGCTTGTTCTCTCTCTCCTCCTCTGCTCCTCTTGATAATGCATGGTGAGAGAATGAGCTTTTGCTTTTCATTTTGAACATGCGACTCCCAAAGAGACATAAGTCGTCCAGTTTTTACACTTGAGTGCATGCAGCATTTACACTACCTTCAATAAGTATTCACGCCCCTTGGAGTTTTTTCACATTTTGTCATCAGGATTTCATTGACAGACCAACAAAAAGTTGTGCAGAAGTGACAGTAGGGGTGTTTCATTGCAAAAATGTTGTATTGCTATTGTGGCAACGATAAAAATGATGATTAAAAGAAAACTATTTTTTGTTACTTTTTTAGGTAACTGTATGACTGTGATGACAAGACACAGCACTCTTAGCACCACAAACACAAATACTGCTTTTGAAAAACACACTCATTTGAAATACTCTTCTTTAGGACGTCATTTACTTAAAGAAGTTTGATTTATATCACTAAATTGCACACAATAGCTAATTTTATTTGTTCATACTTTCAAATTTACATAGGAGAAAAACATTTTCTCCTATGTTTTTGTGCAACAAACATAGGAGAAAATAGGAAAAAATAAAATTTGAGGGAATACTGTCGGTGTTGTACAAAAGTATAACACTGACAGAACGATAAACCAGTTTATCGTCCCAATAAACTGATACAATAAATCAGTTTCTTGTCGGAAGAAATTTTTCACAATAAACTATGCTATAAATTCCCACCCCTAATTTTCAGTAGTTAATCGTTGTAGGGGAAAACATTAAGAAAATTAACAGTATGTTGGGGTTTGTCAATGTAACGATGTAAATGTTACTGGTATTTGTGTCATTCCGTTGCAAAAATTCAGTGTAGAATTTACTGCATGCAAAAAAAACAAAGGTCTGCATTTGTTATTTATTTATTTTTTAAAATGCTACTTTGTGTTTGTCTGTCACTTGGAATTTCAGTAGAAAACATTTTGGTTTTGTAGTTGTAACTTGATAGAAAGTGGAAAAAGTCCAAGGTCTGTTGTAAGGCAATATGAAGCCAGTCAATAAAGTTAGATTGCTAATAGCATGATTATTTTTTGGAATAGCCTGAAGTAATTTTAAGATGCAGGGTCGGAGAATTCAAGACTAAAATGACTAAACTTCTCTTGCTTGTTATTGATACTGAGGTCATGTTATTGGTTTAATACTTTGTGAAGGTTTGCAAATTTTTTTATTTTAAATCTACTAAACTAAGGAAAGAAGAGATTTTGTTGTCTTCGATTGAACACAATCAAAAATATTTGCATAAAATGAACCTTTTTAGGGAAAGATCAAGTGCACTGCAAAAAAACACAAAATCTTACCAAGTACATTTCCTAGTGCTAACAACGTCTTGGTGCACTTGAAAACTAAAAGTAACTTTTCAGCAAGACATGGAAGCCAATAATTCCTTAATATTGATAAAAAGAACTACACAAGTGAAATAATCTGTCAGTGGAACAAGGCATCTTTCCCATATCATAAGTGAAATAATTTGTAAACTAGCACTTTTTCATCAATATTAAGGAATTATTGACTTAAAACAAGCTCCTGTTACTTGTATGTCAGTTTGCTCTTATTTAAAGTGTACAAATATATTTGGCGTAGAAGCTAGAAATGCACTGATCCAATAAACAGCAACATTTTAAGTCAATCAGTGCTGCTTTTCTGTATTAGATCGGTATCGATGCTAAACCTCAGATATCAGTATCGGTATCAGAAGTGAAAAAAGCAGATCGGTGCACCCCTATTAGAAACCAGACCAAAAATACCTGGTAAGATTTTGTGGGTTTTTTCAGATTAAATAACATAATCAGCTGCGGTTTAACTATATTCTCGTGTGTTTACGTCCATAATAATCCGCGCTGAAACCTGTCGCGTCTCGTCTCTGTTTTCCAGCTGAACAGCGACTCGGCGACGGACGACACTGCGTCCAACCATGTGGACTCGCTGCAGCAGTCTCAGGAATCGTCCAGCAGCGCCATGACCGAAGAGGCCACCGTCCTGCCCTCCCTGCCCTCACTCCCCTCCCTCCCCCGACTGGATAGCCCCAGTTTGGAGATGGCCCACTCAGACAGCACCAGCAGCCAGCTGCCTGAGGTGCGATCAATCGGGAGAAGCAATAAACTGTGGTGCTCGGGTACTTTTTAGCTTGCCTTTCTTTTCCTTCTCCGCTTCTGTCTGCCTTTTGCTCTATTTCTTGTCTTGTCGGTTATTTAGCGGGGAAAAAAAAGAAAATTTTTTCGGGGTTAATTTTTTTTTTTTTTTTTTTTTTTTTTTGATGGGTCGGTTCTGCGACTTGCTATCGGGTTCAAACATTTTTAGCTGCTTAATTCCCCTCTGTGGCCCCTTCTCTTGGTTGCTTTGCTCTGGGTGTGGGTGCTGGAGGCTGGTTCTTTAGCTCTTGTGCTTTTACTATGTGATTTTTGGGAAGAGATGAAAGCAAACACTCACCTCAGGCCAGCTGTTACTGCTCAACCCCAATAACCATTCCAACTAAATCCTCCGTTTAAAAAACTTGTGAAAACGACCCGAGGTCCGTTCTCTTCATCAGAAGCATGTGTGAGTATAAGTCCTTTTTAAGTGGTGTGTTGAATTTTAAAAGTGCACTAAGTTGAAAATCAGTCAGAGGTGCTCTAGCCAATTTAAACCTCTTCCATTTGCTACTTTTTTTAACACGGCATAAATTGTCTTATGCTACTAACTGCTACTGACTTTAATCACTAACATTGCTGAGATGTTATGATGATGTCATTTGTTTGGGGAATATTTTACTTTGAGTGCATTAACACTGAATTATCTTGAACTTATTCTTGTCATGGATAATGGTTTGCTTGTATGTGTGTAAGTGTTCTTGGTTTACTTGCATTTAAGCCACTTTATTGGGGCTTTTCTCACCGCATACACTGCCACCTACTGGCCTACCAGTGTAAGTCGACGAAGGAAGACAAACGTTTCAAGCATTTGGCCAGTATCTCTGCTTTTCGATGACAAAAAATGTCACAATTTTTTTTTAGATAAGCAAAAATGATTGTACATACTGTTAATCTCATTTACTGAAAAAAGACATTTTAGCACAGTATTTTGTAGTAATTATTGTGGTTTGATAAAACTGCAATATTTTAAAATTCTCCAGTTTTTCTGGCAATTCCTCAATCTCTGCTTCTAGAGCCCCACAAACATGAAATCTATGTCAGAAATAAAACATAACTGTCATCAATTATACCTACATACAGTATTGTCATTTAGTTGTACAATTTTACAGTTAAATGACAAACGATAAGAGCATTCAATTATATTTTCTAATATGTTGATATCTGTTGATGGAGGGTAGACCATGGACATGTTGACAGACCATCACAGGCAAAGACTAATATATCTGTAAAAAAAATTAAAAGTATGTTAGGATAAAATTATAATTTGTCTATGTGAACATCACTGCTTATGTTTTGAATTGAAATGTTTATATATATCGGCACCATAACATTCTTCAAAATGATTTAGTAAGAAGTAGTTTTGGTTTTAAATTGTAATATATTGTTTTTGTTGTGCCAAAATAGTGAAGCCAATCTAAATTAATATGGTAAGAAGCTGCTGATGTCTATTCCACCTCTCAGGAAAGAAAAAATAAAATATACCATGTCTATATCTGAAGGTAATGATGCTAAATCAGGGTGGAATAAATCATGTGAAAGTTTAGGATTGCTGTATTTAAGGTTTTGAATCATTACATTCATTCACATATTGTCTTCTTGTTTAGTCCCATGAACGGTACGTCTTTCTCTTTGTGGGAATGGCTTTTAAAATACAGGGGGCAGCAGTGAGTCTGAAGGATCAAGATAAAGATCTGAGTCAACAGTTCAAGTCATTTAACTAAATTATATAAAATTGGAAAATATAGGGATGCTGTAGTTGAACCGATGCTTTTACTTTTGTTTTAAGACTGCGTGGAGACCTTCATACAATCTTCTCTTTACCGTCTAAAACTTAAATGCTGCATTAAACAAAAACCGTTACCAGTTATGTTACAGGCATAGAGACACTAAATGTATAATAGCTAAATAATTTAGCAAACATTTACAGCAGTCTGAAAAGTTATTTGCAGTGATTTTTGATTACGATAATTTTCCGATTATATTGTGCCGCCCTAATGTTGACCACTACATTGGTCATGTGAAAAACTCCTTGGAAAATCCATGTTTAAAGTATTAAAAAATATGCACCTAGTTATAATGTTCACATCTTAAGATGATGGAAAGCACAAAAAACATCCAGTGAGGTGTTATTTGGCTCATGAAGGGCTAAAGACGAGCGCGTCTCCGTTTATGCTCTAATGCTTCAGCAAGTGTTTCTACCCTTCAGGGATTGTGCTCTACAAGCTTTACTCCTTTTTGCCAAGGATCTCAATATCATCCCAAGGTCCCCCCACTCCCCCCAGCCCCGTCTCGTTTCACCCCCAGCTCTTAGTATAATGAGCCCCTGATAAAACCATCAATACTCTTACTCGTTCCTTCCTGGACGACCATGAACGCCGCTAAAAGCTTTCCATAATATAGATGAGGTCCCTGTGACGTGCTGGGCGGCCTGCCACATGCCGTTTTCTTAATGCATCAGACTTTTAAATGAAGCTAGAAGAGTTGAAGCTCTCTGAGTCAGAACTCGTCCTCCTTCATGTGGAGCAACATAGATCTTTACTCCAGTCATGCTGCACACAATTGACTCCAGTCACAAATATAATGAATTTAGATTCGATTCATGATTTCATAAAAGGATTTGGACTTTCACACCAATGACTTATGACTTCACTCAGGCTTGAATGCTTGATGTGGAAAAGATCTGATGTCTTAAACCAAACAGGAAGTGTGCTGAAAATTAAAACCTTGGAGATGTGCTCCACACACAATCCTGTCCGCTGAACCATTACTTCCTCCTCTTGATGTGCTAACAAGCAGGTTCCATCTACTGTGCAATCTCGAGTTTTCTTAACAAATTTGGGAAAAGAAGAAGTATGCATCAGAAATGCACCATAATGTTGAGGCACTTTCAGTATTATTTAAAATTCACACAGAAGCAAATTTCTCAGATTCTGAATTGCGATTCTGGAGAAAGTGACATAAATGTTGGTAGCAGCTGTAACAAACCTTATTTACAGGATCCCAGAGTTGCCATAAATATGTGACCATCATATTGGGTGATGGACTCAGTGCAAAATGTTTTAAGGCAGAAGGTCACCTTGATATTTTCATTAGAAAACTAAACGTTGGTCATTATTGGGTCTTTCAGCAGGATATTAGTTCTAGCCCTTTGGCCAAATCAACATGTCTAAGTCCCCAGACTTAACCTGTTTAGTTTTCTTACACAAAAACGGGGATGAGCCAAAGAAGGAGAGAGGTCCAAGTCCCCTCTATCCGTTTCTCTCAATCAATTTTTGTAGCACAAGAAGTTGTTCTTTTCTGTTAGCAAAAGTAATTGGACAGAGTTACCAGAGAGTGTACCAATCAAGGTGGCCCCAGTCATTTAGTTTAAAAAAAACAAAAAACAATGTTTCTTAACTTGGAAATTTTATTTTGTCGAATCTTACACATCTTCACCAGGTATAATAACAATAGTAATTGTTGGTATATGTGCTGCTGTTTACTGGTCCATCCACGGATACGCATACGAATACAAAACAAGAAGCTGAGATAAAATTTTCTGCTTGTAGAAATTTGCTAGATGTGCTTGGAGACTATCTTTTCTCCAACACCAAGTCTGGGATCTTACCATGTTGGCCACCATTTTCATGTCACATGTTGCGTAGCTAAGACGGTTCCATTATTTTACTAATAGAAAATCAACCTGTAGCTTAAAGTTTTAGCAATCAATTTTAGTCAGAATGTCATACAAACTATATTTAATAGCATCCAGTCACAATTTTGGTCTTGGAGAATAACAAAAAAAAAAAAAAAAAACTTGAGATGGTGGAGCTTGTATGCTAACCTTCTAAATGGGATTTTTAAAATACCTACACTAATGACATAAACAGTGTGTGCATGTAAACTGGTTGTAGTTTTACGACACGACGCAAAGCGACCAGTACTTCATGACGACACAGTAAGTAAACTTGCTTGGTAAGCTGCAACTGAGTGCCTCCATGTTGCTTTGCGTTGCAGGACGCTGTTAGCATGACTGCGGCAGATGAGCTGAGCAGCAGCGTGAGTGAGGACACGGGCTTTTGCAGCGTCCCCCCCCTGCCGTCCGATGCGCCCGAGCTGTGCGACCTCCCTGACCCGCAGGACCCCCAGTACTCCCAGGACGTCCAGGAGACCCAGGACCCTCACGAGGACCTGGACCCGGCTCCCCCTCCTCCGCCGGCCATCGACACGCCGCCGGGGTCGTTCTGTGAGGAGGATTGCCAGACCGTGCTGCCGCTGTGCATCCCCTCCACGCCGGATCCCAAGCCGGATCCAGACCCGGACAGCACCTGTGGCTCTTTGTGGGAAGAGGACGTGACGAAGGCCCTGAAGGAGCTGGATGAGCGCTGCGAGGAAGAGGAGGCAGACTTCTCTGGCATGTCTAGGTACATAATATTTTGAATAAGGAGGTTAGAGTTTTTGGATTGATGCTTTGCTCTCATTCTCTTTCTAATTTCCTCTCTGATTATTGTGAATAAAGGCTGATAGTGACACAAAAAACTGTGAAAAATTAACATAAAATTTGCTTTACTCATTCTGGTGTAAGTCATTTACACCAGAATGAAGCAGTTAGGTAGCAGTTCCTGTAAAACCTAATTAATATTTTTAAAATAAAGGCAATAATATGAATAAAGTCACGTTTTAAACCCTCTGTACAATCTTATATGAGAGATTGAGGTGTTGTGTATATTGCCTTTAAAGTACAGTACAACGTAAACCACTCATCTTTTATTTAGCAAGAGTTTTTCAACGTTCTTATTGCTGATAGAAAATTATTGACACCCAAATTAATGGGCCTTGTTTTGTTTTTTTTATTTTTTATTTTTAAACAAAGAAACGATGCTTATGTTTGTGATCTACAGATGCTTTTTCTACTGAAGACAAGTAGTTTATTTTTGTCCAGTTAAATTAAATTATTTTTCACATTTTTTTCTCACATAATAATAATAATAATAATAATAATGAAAAAAGGTAATTTTAAATATTTCTTCAACTTTACAAATTAGGCCTTTGTGTTAAAAATGTTAGGAAGCCTTTTTTAGCTGGTTTTAAGCTGGTATATACATACTGGTACCACGGTGTACTTCAAAATACTTCAACAGCTGTGAGCATTTCTGCCATAAAGAAACTCTATGTTGGTTTTAGATTGTAGTTTATTGCTTGTTACCACGGCAGGCAGGCTAGTGAAGCTAGTATATGAATTTTTGTTGCAGCTTGAATGAACTGTGGTCATATCTCAACATGTCGTAGAAAACATAGTTTCCTTAACGTAGCTTGAGTCGTCCTTTTTCAGGAACCACATCCACACTGAAGAGTGTTGGTGCATTCTCTGATTGGCTGGAGATTTAATTTTTCAGTTTGTGGGATCAGCTGAAGAATTGTGCATGCAAAATGGAAAAAAACAACAAATACCCATTTGTATAGTATAATCAGGTAAAAGATGAAACAGTGCAGTGGAAAACATCTTTTTGGCAGTACTTCAGCCAAAAAGATGGCTCCCGTCCATTCTCCTTATGAAGCTGAGCCAATTTTAGCTGAAGGACATTTTTAAAGAGATAGAAACCACGCCGAAGCAATAACAGCCAGGTTGAACAAATAGTTGCTAACTTCGCCTCTTACTAACATATTATAAAATTGCAGCTCTTTTACTTAGCTGAGGTAGGCTTCTGCAGTTAAATGTGCGATATGGATTTATGAGTTGGAGGGAGGAAGATAAAACAATCTCCAGCAACATTCCACTAGTGTGTAACCGGGAGCTGGGACTGCGTGCAGAAGTGTGTGCGTGCGTGTGTGTGTGTGTAGGTGCTTAGCTTGTATAGAGCACTCTGCAGTCCTGTGTGGGATGAGAGTGCTGTGCGCTTGTGCCGTTAGCAGTTGCAGCACAGTCAGGCTGCAGACGAGGGGGAGAGGACCGAGGAGGGGGGGCAGAGATGAGAAGCGTTAGTTGGGGGTGAGGATGAGGACAGAGACCGTGTCCGTCGCAGCGCTCGGCAGTGCAGGCTTCAGATATCTATATTCCGTCTGCTTCTTCAGGCTCTTTGGTCCGTCAGGCCTGTGAGTACCTATATGTGAGACGTTTGCGTGATGCTAAAATGCTAAAATGCTAATCTCTAGTGTTGTTATGCAAGTCCCGCTGCGTAACGTGGGCACGCTTCTCTGAGAAAAACAGCAGCGAGGTTGTTTACTTGCTGTGAAAGCAAGCGTATGCACATGCGTGTGTGTGTGTGTGTGTGTGTGTGTGTGTGTGTGCGCGCGCGCGCGCATGTTTACATTTGCCCTTCAGTGAAGGAGTGTGGAGCATGTCGGAGCGCAGCTCATTGGCTCCTCTGTGTGTTTCAGTCAAGATGAAGGTGACGCAGACGGCTTCCCAGAGATCCAGGCCTCTCCGCCCCCTTCGCCCTTCCTCTCAGCCATCCTGGCGGCGTTCCAGCCCGTCGCCTATGACAACGAGGAGGACGCTTGGCGTTGCCATGTCAACCAGATGTTGTCGGACACGGACGGCTCCTCTGCTGTTTACACTTTCCATGTGTTCTCTCGACTATTTGAGGTAAATCCGTCAACGTTTGTTTTGTTTTGTTTTTTTTGTCTGCATGTTTAGGAGAACTAATAGTTTCTCCTTCTGATTCTCGGTGAACAGAATATCCAGAGGAAGTTTGGTTCCATCACACATTCATCCGTCCGCTTTTTGGGCGAGAGGCTCCAGCGAATGGGCAATCAGTTCCTCAGCTCGCTCGAGGTCATGACGTCTCACTCACAGTGCCCCACTGTGCTCCTGGACGCAGAGACTGTGAGTCTGATCCTGTTGGCTGCCCGCATTTCTTTAAGAAAAATAAAAGTCATTACTTGTTGTTCCTAAATAGATGCATCTAATCTGTTGTGTTTGTGTGATGCTGTTCTAGCTGGTCTCTTGTGGACTTTTGGAGACTCTGAAGTTCAGTGTGCTGGAGCTGCAGGAGCATCTGGATACATACAACGCCAAGAGGGAAGCTGCAGAGCTCGTAAGTTCCTGTGTCGTTCGCTGCTTTTATAATCCACCAGCAGGGCCGGATGTACAGGGATGTGGGCCCCCATGCTGGAGCTAGTTTGGGCCCCCGTATCCACTAAGGAAAAATCATTTTACTAGTGCAAAATTACAGTACAGCAATGGGTAGTCTTATACAATAGATGCATGATATGTTTATTATGTCTCCTAGCTAATAACTCCATGTTGTTCCCAAAGAAATCAACTATAGTTTCAAACTTTTCAAATACTTAGTATTTAGATTAAAATTCCCAAAATATTACAACTCACCAAATTTGCACCTATGAGTTTTATATATTTAGTACAGGGTTTCCTCTATGTGTAACCGTCACACCATCAGAGTGAAGTTTTTTTGTTGTTGTTTTTTAATATATATATATATACTAAAACAATGGAAAGCATATGAGACAGATATAAATACACACATATATATAGCCTATAGTTTTGCACTTATACTAATCATAAAGAATTTAAATATAAAGAAACGTGAATACTTACATTATTTTGAAAAACCAACAACCGGCGACTCCTGCCTGTCTGGCTGCGAATCCAGCTACTGAACGCTGCGCCGCTCTCAGGAGTGAAGTAAAACTAGTGACCACAGTCCGAAGAAGGAGGAGAGAAAAGGCAAAAGAAAAAGACCTAAGGAAGGACAAGTTGAATTCATTTTTAGTTGAAGCCTTCAAACCCAACCCTAATGCTAATGATTGTTGCATTTGGATGACAGCAACATAGTTAATATCGCTAATAAACTACGTTTCCTTTAAGGAAAATCCTAGAGGAAAAAAACATGAAGTACAAAGATGGCAAAACACATATTTAAAAAAAATAAATCTTTGGCCACCCACACAAAATGGTTGCCCTGGGCTACTGCCCAAATAAGTCCACCGGCAAAGCTTCCCCATTCTCTTTGAAGACTGCCTCATATCTGCACTTTCAGTTGCTGTATCGCAGTGTGTGTGAGCGAGCAACAGAGAGAGAGAAAGAGAAATAAACTGCATCATAATCTCAGCTCAAGAGAGACGAGCTTCAAAAACATATTAAAATTCTTCTATATCTCTGCGATCGCACCACGGGCAGCAAGGAGAACACAAAGACATATAGCTGATGCAGGAAAAAGATAAAGTCCAGCCTCTCATATGGGGACAAATCAGTGTTGGGTTTGAGTACGTTCTGCTGCCGCTGCCGCCTGCATCATCCTGCTCTGAGGGATAAAAATAACTCTGAGCTCGCCTAAATCAGTTAGAGGAGGCCAGACAGGAAAACGCTGTGAGGGGTGGGAGAGGCGAAGCAATGGGGAGGGGACAAAAGAGAAATGAGATTTCCAAGGCTTCTGGGATGCAAAACGCTAATCGAATAAGACGGCAATGTTCCCTGTAGGGTCAGATACCATCCAACGCTCAGGAACAGATTATCTTTAATTCGCTAAGTACAACGTTCTTATTAAATCTTTAGCTTTATCCAACCCATGTGGTTCACAAACACTGATGCAAATGCATATTTTTAAAAACACTTTGCAATGCTCCTTTTTCTACTGTGCTTTCCCTCTCCTTCTTTTAAGCTCGTTTTATTTTCTTCTCCATGTGTTTCCTCTCACGTCTGTGTCCTTTCAACCCCGCAGTGGCTGGAAAACTGCAGGAAAACATTTGGGGACAAAGACAGCAGCCAGCGACCAAACACTCACACTCAGGTAGGAACCGACGCTCACCTGTCTGCTAGCTTGTTTGGCTCCGTAGGTTTCCCTCCGAACGGACAGACCCTTGCTAAAAGGTTTCACGCCTCCGGAGTATGACACTGCCACCACTATGCTTCACTGTAGGGATGGCATGTCCAGGATGATGTGCAGTCTTAGTTTTTCCACCACTCAAAACATTTTAGTCCTTTTTTTTTTTCTATATTGGAAATACAATAAAAGATGCAAATAAAATAATTTTAAATAAGACTAGAACAGCATTCCTTTAGTAAATCTAAAACCTTTTCCACTATTATTTGTACATATTTTTAGTACAGTTTTGGCTTAATTACTGCTCTGAATATGGGGTGGATTTTTTTCGGCAGATTGACTTTTTTAAGTCTGTAAACCCCAGATAACGTTATCTAGCTAAATTAGTTTACAATTGTTTCAGTAATCAAGTAATCACGATTAATCCGATTAATTGTTTCAGCCCTGATGTTGACTTACAAACAACCTAGCTTGTGGACTAGCTTGTTTACATTTTTTGTGTGTCTTGTTTACTTGGCTGGTTGTCGATTAATCGTTTCGGCCTTGAACAAAATGCTCTGACTTTTGGTGTTGCATTGAGGCGAAATCTGGTGTGAATATCTTGGCAAGGCACTGGTCCCTTCAAAGTCGTGTATTCTCACATTTCATCCAAACTTATTTACAGTTTCACTGCTCCTTCCTCTGTTCAGCCACTTGTGCAGCAAATCTTTTCTCTCACTCTCTACACACGCTGTTTTGTTTTTTTTGTTTTTTTTTTTTGCCTTTTTTATCGATCAAGTTTCTGTTAAGTCAGCTCACATGTTTCCGGCCTTCTCTGCGCCGCGTGCAGGGAAGATGACGAAGCGCCGCTCCTTGGCCTTCAGGTCGCCATGTCTAAGCTGTCATGTTTAAAGCTCACTAATTCTTGGTCTTTCTCTCCTTGTTGTTTGTGTGTGTGTGTGTGTGTGTTTACGTGTGTGTGTGACCTGCTCACCTTCTTGCTTAGCAAATGGAAAATCTAGCAGTAAGTGGTTCTCTTGTTATAGACTTCAATAACGACGCCACCCGGACAAAACACTGACCATCTCATCGCTCTGCTCCCGCCCACCTCTGTATCTCAATCTTTGTTTCTGCTTTGATTTTATTTTTTGTCATGTAACCCAATTCAACCCCATGTCGGCCCAATCAAAACGTTCTGCTCTTCTGTTTTGAGTCGTAATATTGACAGTCAGATCAGCCGCCCTGCTGTTTGTTTTTGTGCTGTGTGCTATCATCATTTGCACATGTTCAGTGTTTAAGTAGGTGATTTCTTGTCTAAAAAAACGCTTACGCTATTATTTTGTTTCGTTTCATTTTGCATGTACATTTTTTTTTACCCCATTCCTGTTTCTGTTCAAATCCTGTTTCTTTTTTTTTTTTCCATCCATGCTTCTCAGGTTGAGATTGTAGTTGGGTCATTCATCTTGTCTCATAGTCAGGTTCATGCCATGTGGTGACAAAACTGATTTCATCAGTGACCATAATCGTAGCTTCCTCGCTTCTTCCTCTGTGGCCCAAACTGAATGAAACTTTTGCACTGCCCCATGTTAACCGTTTTCATTTCCTCCCGCATATCTAACCCAGGTTGACAATTAATTTGACAATGTGACAATCAGAGTAACGCCGGCGCAGACTGTGCTGAAACGTGTTCCTTTCGCATCTGTCTCCGCAGGAGCTGGAGTTGTGTCGGCGACTCTACAAGCTGCACTTTCAGCTGCTTCTGCTGTTCCAGGCCTACTGCAAGCTCATCAGCAGAGTGGACACCATGAAGCGAGAGGCAGAGGTGAGGGGGGTGTGGGGGTAATTGGGGATTGCTGAACTCTCACCATGGCAACAAGCCTCAATCGAGATGAAACAACTTACCAGCCAGCTGCAAGATTAAGTTATGAACCGTTGATAATGTGGACAATTTTTAAATTTATTTATTTATTTATTTTTAACCTTTTGGAGCATTCAACAACTGACATAAAATCTGAATTTCCAGCTTCAGAATGAGATAATCTGAAGAGCTTCAGACAGAAGTTAGGTTAAATATTAGTCAAAGCAACCGTTCCTTTGGGTTCAGCAGAAGGTGTAACTACTTGTAAGAACATGTGGTTTGTTTAAAAGGGAGAAACAAGATGCAACTCACTTTAAAGTTAATAGAAATAAAAAAATAAGAAGATTGGACTTGACTAGCTTTGTTGCTTCAAACACTCAAACATTTGCTTTTTAAAATTTTTATAACCCCTTTTTTCAGTTTAGTTTTTTTTTGTGTTAATATTACTTTGAGTTGATTATAGGTAAAAAAAAAAGACAGAAAGTCAGGGTTTCCCCTGGTGTTTTATAAGCCTGGCGGGCCACCAGGCTAAGCATTGCTTATTTATTTAAGTCTTTTTAAAATGTTTCCATTTTTTAAGACTTTATTGTTGATGGTCAGGTATTGAACTTCCAATCTTTCAATAACACATTATTACCAAGTGATATTTTCAAATTTCCTGTCAACTTTAAACATTTTTTAACTCAAAAAGACACCTGGCTTAGCAAGTTTTCTGTGTTTCCTTGGAAAGTCAACAATTTATAAAGGGGAATATCTACAGGATATTAACCAGAATCATTTTTTGTCCTTGTTTTTAAATGTAAAACAACTTAAAATTAATTTGATTAGTTCAGTTTATCCATATGTCAGAAAGTTTGATTTATCAACTGCAACAAGTCAGTTCAAAGAGTTTTATATCATAAAAACACAAAACTCAACAGTTGAAACATTACATTATAATTTCCCCAATTATTTCTAATTTAGCTTATTCTGTTAGAGAAACTAAAACAAAATGCAGATTTGTTTTTAGTTGGATTTATCTTTTTTCATAGCAACACTTGACACCATGTGGCCATTAGCTGTTTACCTGCAGTGCATTCTGGTCTCAGGCCGTGTAAATAATTGTCACCACATCTGCATCGCAGTTGATCCCTACCTGGCCTAAATTACGATCAAATCCTAATCAGATTTTGCTACTTGGTGTAATTAGATCACTGCCATCACAGATCGATGAGAGCCACCTAATCCAGTTAATATTTACTTCAAGTTTATTTAGCTGACCTCCCAGCTTTATGTTGCACATGTTATTTAACGCTATGATGCAACGATAAGTGAGGGTTTCGGGTTTTTTTCTGTCTGTTTCCAAGGTGACCAACATGTCCGAGGAACTCACCATCCTGGAGAGCTGCCTGATCGAGGCAGAAACAGGAAATGATAACCAGGAGGATGTGTGCATGTCAGACAATGCCCAGACCAACACCGAGACGGCAATCCAGTCACTAATAGAAACGCTGAGAGCCAGAGACTTCAGCTCCGCTCTGTCGCAGGTCAAAATATTCAGGTGGGTTCAACACAGAAGCACCAGCTAAACACTCCTCTCTGCTAATATAAGTTCATCACTTAAGGCAAAAAATATTTTGGTTTTTTTTAACCCCCATTTCTCTGGTGTATTATGATGTACTACATTTTGTCACATTACAACCAATGTAAGTTGTTGGGATTTTATGTGATGAATAAAATCAAAGTAGTGCAAAGGATTTATAATGTTTCTTCTTATGAATAAAAATCTGAAAAGTGTAACACCCTTTGGGAGCCACATTGGACTTAATACTTTGTAGAACTGCTTTTTGCTAAAATTATAGCTTCACATTTTTGTCTCCACCAAGACATTTTAAAGAAAAGTGAATAAAAATCAAGCTCAGACAGATTGAATGACTGATTCTGAATGTTTTAAAGAGGGATAAATACGCCACCTTTTTCAGAATTGTGTATATTTATTAAGAACAAAAAAAAATACTTTGCATTCTTTTACTGTCCTATTTAAAATTGCACATTATCTTTGTGGATCTGTCATGCAAAATCCCGTTAAACTACAGAAAAGTTTGTGGTTTTAACTTGACAAAGTGTGAAACAAAGGATTCCCTGCAGACATGCAGACATAAATTATCATTGACAAACAGCAGTATATTAATATGTAGTCTGAAATCAGGTCACTTTGGCTTTATTTTCCTGATGTTTTGGTAGTCTTTGATCTTTTTTTTTTCACAATATTTGACATTCATCTCTTGGACTCAGACTCAGTTTTGGAATTAACTAAATGTTTATCACTAACTCATGTTATTGCAGTCCAATGATTCAAATTTTAATTAATTTTTTTTTGGCCCAAGTTAAATAATTTAATTCTTGGCTGAATGTGTTTTTTCGTTTGATCTTAGTCTTTTCACTTGGATCTTAAGCTGTGCAAAAAGCTCTTTTCCGTTACCGACGTTTATCTAACGATCCCCTCTTTGGTTCGTCTTCAGGTCTTTGTGGCCTAACGACATCTTCGGGAACGAGACGGACAACGCCGTTCAGACCCTCCTGCACATCTACTTCCGCCACCAAACGCTGGGCCAGACGGGCTGCTTGGCGGTGGTGGGCCCCAGCAGGGACCTGTCTCAGGCCAGCACCCGCCTCATGGAGCTCAACCTGCAGATCCGCGAGGCTCTGAGTCAGGCTCAGGCATGCCAGCTTCACACGACCACATTCAGCACCGGACTTTAAACCGAACCGGAAAGGACCGAACCGAAATCAGCCCCACTATAGAGAGTTGTGGGAGCGGGGGACAAGAGAGATTATACATACAAAGGGCTAAAGGATGTGTGGGAAGTAACTGTGACTCTTCATGCATTAGCGTTACCTGTATGAATGCTTAAAGCTCATAGCTTTTTCCAGACTAAGCCAATTTGCAAAATTCAGTTGCAATAAGTCATGTGATGGTGTGTCTGGTGAAGATTGGACCCAGTGGGATATTTTATTTTACCCCTTTTTTTTTTTTTTGCCTGATCTGACCGGGAGGAGCCTGTCGCACTGAGCGCTGGCCTCCTCCGGTTCCGGTGTCGAAGCGCGTACGACGGTCCGTGTTAAGGACACACCATCAAGACTCAGAAGCAAACTCAGAAGAATCTTGTTTATATTTAAAAAAAAAAAAAAAAAAAGTTTTCAAATGCATGCTTGAAAGTGAGAAAGCACTGCAAGAATATTTTTTTGAGAAATTTATTTTTTATTAGAGCTAACATCTTAGGTTGTAAATGTTAGGATATTTAACATGTGATCCTGTGGGGAAAACCCCCTGCCTTCAGGGAGTGTATAAAGAGGAATATGTTTGATTGCTCCGAGAGATGAGTTTCCTTCAGCAGGTCTTCACGCAAAACTCACTCTTTAACCAAATAAGTAGATGCCTTTAGACTCTTGACTGTGTGATATATATTGGGAGATGCTCATACACAAATGCATTTAATTGCACACAAAAGTGCAGACTCGCTACAGCTTATAATGAAAGCATAACTTATTGTACTCTGTATACATTTTAGAAAGTGTATAGTGTAAAACCAGTATTTTCCCCCCCTTGTAATTTTGTGTAATGCACTGTTCATCCCAAATGGGATGTATGTATAAAGCTAACATAAGAAAAGCTCACAGCAGGTTTGAGTCACTAAGCTGTTATTCTGAACTTCATAGGCTCATCTTGGATGGTGGCAGCCATTTTTTTTGGCTTCAGTTTCAAGTGGCATCAATATGCATTCCTTCACAGGTTGTACTCTGGATTTTCATTTGATCACATGTTCATCCTGCCATACTTCTCTCTGGAAGAATGCTTGTACAGTTCAACTCATTCCTTATTTTGGATGCAGATCCACTAATTTTCCCTCCACATACCAGCCTTCTCTGGATAACTAAAGACTTCATTCCTACAGGACATCTCTAGTCATCTTCTTGGAGCACATGCCCAAACCGCTGCTGACCAATGAAAGACCACTTAATGCAAAAATAAAATATTTTAAACATCCAAAATGCAAGATAGCCATTTATTACGTTCGAGGCATGATGTGCTTACAGAGTCAACAAAACATGCATGGGAGAAAAAAAAAAGTTTTGAAACATCAAAAATTTGTGCTTTGCATTCAAGAGGCCTTTTGAGTCGTAGACCACTAGCGGGGCATGCGCAGATGCGTTGAGGGTTTTAGTCGAACAGACTCAGATGATGTATTTAAAGCTGAATGTGCTGTCGCAGGAGAGCCGCTTGCCTTTGCATCTGCCACACAAGTCCTGTCTGTGGGGCCGTTTGGGGTCAACGTGCCGCTGCGTCAGGGCACAGGAGCAGCGGGCTTTGTTGCAAGTCTGGAGAACAAGAGATTCATGAGAATGAGTTGCAAGAAGGCAGACGTGAAGAAGCAGGGACGCAACTTACGTGGCATGTTATGTCTTCCACACGGTATGGGTTGAAGCCGTTCTGGCATTTCCTACAGAACTGTTTGAAGTAAACCTAGAAAAGAGTAGACCCATTTACTCCAAATCCATATTCAGTGATTCACTGATCTCTTGTGAAGTTACTCACCTTGTTTGTGCCCTGAACGCACCATACATAAGCACTTTCCCATCGCAGATTGCATTCTCTGCAGTGATAATATCCATACTTCTGTTCCAGGAACTAATTAAGCAGACAGGCAAATTAGACAATTACTCACCGGAATACACAACTGATCTGTAGTTTATCCAGTTAAAAGTGAAAGGTTTTAAGTTTATTTTTTAGACAGCATGTTTGAAAAACTGTTCAATTCTAACTAGTG